TCGGCAGTTTCAACAATGGCAACATTGCTTGTGAAAGCTATCACGTTTGCAATGACCAACAAGAAGGCAGAACGCAGTCGCAAAACTACCATTTACATCAAGCAGATATCCAACAAAGGCAGCTGCATCAAGGCTATCAACAATCTCAAGCTTATGGATCTTCAGCCGAGGACCACTATGAACTGCAGCAGGCACAATACGGTTACAATAATTCGAATATTGGTCTACCACCTGGAGCACATTGCACTCGCCCGGGCGGCCCGAATTTAGTTAATAAGCAGTTAGTGCTGCCTTTCGTGCCCCCCAGTTTCCCAAACAAATCGCAAGACGGCGTAACTCATCTCATAAAACCATCCGAGTATCTAAAGAGTATAAGTGATAAACGATCGTGCCCTTCCTCTGCAAGGTAAGACTATGTAGTTCCAATNATACATATGGCGCCTGTTTTATTTTACAAAATATATGTGAATATTTAATAAAAAATGAAAGGGTGAACCCGCCTTCAAGTTAAATTTCTAAAGACTTGTAACAAAGTTTAAATAGCAATTATATTCAACAATTTTATTGAGCTTCAGGCCATTTTATACGAAAAATGTTGTGGAAAAAAAGAATTAAATAGCAACAAATGAGGATATGAAATTTATCTTAGAATTACTTCTAAATACTTGTTTTAGAAGAAATCTAAATTAGGATTCCTTTCAAATTAAAGGGGACGAAATAGTTTAACCTTTTCCTTCTATGTTTTATTTAGTATGGTTTCTACTTCCCTCCAAACCAGCTGTGGGAAGTGGGTTGTTGAGCAAACTGGCCTCATCATCTATAAGTACTATATTCCGGTGGTAGGTCCTGGTCCTATTAAGATAATAGAGTTGTCACGATACTTTATTCCTTTGGGAATTGGGTTTTTTGATAAAATTTACAAACCTAACTAAAATTGATGGTAATGTAAAACAATATTGCTACCGCCCTGGTCTCCCTAACTTAAAGTCGGTGCTGCTGCAACACGAAGAACAAAACTAGTAGATATGTATTAGTTAGTTAGTTACATGCATAAGTACATATCGTCGATGTTTTTGCAAACCCGCCCATCGACCAATTGCAAAACCGCCTATCTTACGACACTCAAATTTTACAGGAGAGCAAAAAAACGGTTAACTTTGAAGGCAAGGCCATGATAGGTGTTATTTTCTCTTCGGTTTTATGATTTTTATGCATAAACCTCGATGCCTGGAGTTCAGGATTACGAAATTTAATTTTTGCCACAACGGCGATTTAGGCGGTTTTAAAACTGGTCGATGGGCGGTTTTGCAAAAACTTCGACGACATGTACTTATGTATATTCGAAAAGCGTTAACCTACAAAAGTCTTTGATTGCATGCACTAACTTCCAAATAGCCAACGAATACCATAAAGTAATTAGTGCATTCAATTTGTAGGCATTATCTACTTTGTCTTGTTATTCGCGTGCTGCATGAGTGCGTGCATCGTATGCCAGATACAGTGGTCCACTTCACCATCTTTTGGTTTTTAGTATTAGCATTCGCGTGCTTATCCATAATTTATGCGAGTTTCGCCAACGAATTGAATCTCATGTTCGAATGATGTTAACAGTTCCTTTCAGTTCAGTAGCAATAACGATGATATTACGAACGCACTCAACTTGGAGTAGGTTAGTTTAAGGTGCCGAAATATGTACTACATACTATATGGCTTGAAAGAAAATTTTAATTTGTAAAAACTTTGCCAATACACATTTGTATGAATCCTGAAACCTAACCAAGAAAAGTTCTAAATAAGTTTTTATTATGATTTCATTGGGAATTATCAACTAGATCGACGGATAGTGAGGATTATATGCATATCCAGGTGACTAATCAACATGCAGCCGGCTTCGAGCCTCCGAAGCCACCACCGCCACCACCACTTCCAGTTCATCCTGTAACACAACACAATGAGAAGCATAGCAATATGAAAACAATGAATTCGCACGTGTCCATAGTCAATCAGGATACTGCGACGCGTAAACAACATCAGCCACTCTCTGCCATTTCTATTCAGGACCTTAACAGTGTCCAGGTAACTTCGATGCGATTGCGTAAATTCATATACTTACATACATACATATATAGCTTCGACGAACCGATACTCAGAAAATGCCTAAGCCGTATCAAATGCCAGCACGTAGCCTTAGTATGCAGTGTCTGACCACTTCATCGGAAGTTTATCTTAAGACCGACCTAATTGCTGAATTAAAGATATCAAAGGATATTTCAGGCATTAAAAAGATGAAGGTGGAAAAACAATTAGCTGGTCATTTTGATTCTGAAAATTATTCGGAAATTTCGAAACAGTTTACAGCCAACAATTATATGGATCAGGTAAGGACATTTAGCACATTTGTTTAAAGTTCACGGG